TCGAGCCCCGCGTCGGGCTCTGTGCTGACTGCCAGCTCAGAGCCTGGAGCCTGTTTCAGAGTCTGTGACTCCCTCTCTCTCTGACCCTCCCCCGCTCACACTGTCTCTCTCTCTCTCCTAGAAATAAATAAAAACATTTAAAAAAATTTTTTTTAAATAAAAATAAAGAATTGTGATTAAGGGCATCAATTCTGAAGCCAGACAGCCTGGGGTTAAATCCCAGCTCTGCCACTTACTAGCTGCATGAGTTAGGCAAGTTACTTTACTTCTCTGTGCCTTAGTTTTCTCATCTGTAAAATGAGGCTAATAATAGTACCTGCCCCACATAGTTGTTGTAAAGATATGCCGGGTTAATATGTAAAATGCCGAACCTCATGAATTTTAAGATCTCTTAGTGGCTGATAGTAAGGGGTTCTGACAGACCCTGTTTGAATACTGTCTCTGACATTCCTTGGCTGTGTTAGCCAGTGACAGACCCTCCCAAAGCGTCAGTTTCTTGGGAGGATGGAGCTCTATAGAATCTTCTTTTCAAAGCACATTCTAGAGGCGCCTGGGTGGCTCAGTTAGTTAAGTGTCCGGGTTCAGCTCGGTCATGATCTCATAGTTCATGGGGTCAAGCCCTGCATCCAGTTCCGTGCTGACCACTTGCTCGGAGCCTGGAGCCTGCTTCAGATTCTGTGTCTCCTTCTCTCTCTGCCCCTCCCCTGCTCGTGCTCTGTCTCACTCTGTCTCTCAAAAATAAATAAATGTTAAAAAAAAAAAAGTTTACAGCACACTCTGAAATGTTACAATGACCTGTATCTTTTACATCAGTCTCCTTGTCAGGCTATAAGAGCATGCACAGATTAATTATATCTTGGTGTAGGTTATTTCCAAGGAGAGCTAATTTCATTTATTTTATTCTTCTTGGCATCAATGTTAGAGATAGACAACCTTTAGCTGTCCGCAAATTCTGGCCCCATGTCCCAAGCAGTGCTTGCATTAACCAGACCCCGGCTTCCACTGGGCACCCCCACTGACTCTGTCTAAGTCCATTTAGGCTAAGGTATACTGCAGTAACGTACACACCCAAGCCTTGGTGGCCGACAACACTGGAGGCTTATTTCTCTCCCAGGCTACATGCCCATCATAGGTTGCTATGGCTGTGCTCCATGATGAATTCACTCCAGAACTCAGGCAGATAGACAAACCTCCGTGCCTGGGACACTGCCAGTTATCACAGCAATGGAAAAAGTGAAGTGTGGCTGGCTCCTAAGAGCTTCTACCAGGAAACAGCCTTCTCTCACCTCCACCCACATTTCAGTGGCCAAGCCTGGTGTTAAGGGGGTGGAGAAGTAGAAACCTCACCCTGGAAGCAACATTACATATTTGTGAACAAAAATAGACTCTCCAAAGCTTTCCACTCATCTTCATCCACTGAAGGCTAAGAAAAGGAGTGAATATCTGGTGTTTTGTATCTATGGACCATCCCCCAATGCTGAGAACCCAGTAATGCTGTTCACCCTACAATCCACATACCGTATGATACGACATGATCAGGGTACATCTGCAGCATGAAAATATTTATTTTTGGGTCTTGTTTTTTTAAGTGTATTTATGTATTTTGAGAGAGGGAGAGCATGGGAGGGGCAGACAGAGAGAGAATTGCAAGTAGGCTCCACCCCGTTAGTGCAGAGCCCAACATGGGGCTTGAACTCTCAAACCATGAGGTCACGACCTGAGCTGAGATCAAGAATCAGATGGTTAACCAACTAAGCCACCTGGCACCCCAGAAAATGTTTATATTACAGGTGGCAGGTGTCTTAGTCTGGGGATATAGAGCAGCGGAGGGCAGTCTCAATTATCTTCCATTCTTGCTTACACGTTGTATTCAATGGATTAAATTCATTCTGAATTTCTGGCTCAGCATCCACCTCTTTTCAAGTTCCTGCTTGACTATCCTGCTGTTTCCTGGACATCACTCCTGGACAGCACCTCCCCCAGGCAATCCCATTTCATAGGGTCCCTCTGCCTGAGCCACTGGGTCGGCCCCAGGAGCCGTGCCCTGTGCCGTTCCATGGGGCACACAACCTGGACAGACAACCAAGTCAAGGATTGGGCATCACCCGCCACTCCTGTCCTGCCTCTCACATCCCAGTGATTCCGAACTTGTGGATATTTAAACGTCACCTTCATCTCTTGGACAGAAGCAGAAAATTCATTTCCAGAGCGAGCATTTCAGTCCAGGTCGCCATGGACTCGCAGGTGGATGATCTACTATCCCTGGTCTCCCCGTGGCCAGTCTCGCCTCCCAGTCCTGCAGCCAGTGAGCCCGTGAAAATGCAGACTGGCGTCCAATCCAGCTTCACACTTCCGTGGCTCACCACTGTTCCCCTCACTCCCGCACCTCAGGTTCTGTCTTGCTGGTTTTGTCTCCTGCTTTGGAGCCTTTGCACCTGCCGTTCTTCCTGTCTAGAAGCCTCTAGCCGCAGCTTGGCCCCCTAGGTTCTGACAGACCCTGTTTGAATAGCATCTCTTTTAGGCATTGCCTTTGTGTCGCAAGCATGCCTGATTCCCCTCTGCTGCTCGAGCCCAGGGATTCTCATCCTGGGCTCTACCGACATTTGGGGCCAGATCACGTTTTGTGGTGGGGACTGCCCTGTGTATTATTGCAGGATGTTGAGCGGCACCCTGGTCCGTCGCACCCCCTCCATTCCAACTGCAATCAGCAGAAACATCTTGAGGCCCCTTGGGAAGGGATTGAAATTGCCCCCCATGGAGGACTGCTGATCTGGGTTGAAACTTCTGCTCTGTCCTCCCCCAGCACCTGCCCAAATTGACTGACTTTGAGCAGGACAATGATGCTTATTTGATGCGACTCCACTTTTGAGCACATTTGACACACAGCAGCTCCATTGAACCCTCCACAAGCGCACAGGGCAGGCAGCCCAGACTCCACACCTCACTCCTGCGTGGAGCTAGGGTTCAGCCTAAGCTCTGGTTCTGGTGCTCCACTCTCTTGACCAGCCCACAACACCCTGTCCACCCACGAGGCTGTCACATCAGGCACTCGAAGTTTTGGTGGGGAACACTGGCAGCTCCCCAGCCTTTGAGGAGAAGTTCCAGGGAGGAACTTGAGACCTGAGACCACTCCTCTGCAGCTTGACTTCCTGATGCACTTACTTGCCCAGCAGCTGCCATACCTCCAGCAAATCCCAGGACCTCTAAGCCCCTGGGTGTTGTGTTTCCAGGGGGAAGGGGCTGCTGCTGCCTCAATCTGGTCTTTTGATTGTAGAGGAGGAGCATGTTTTCTCTGGGAGCATGAAGCTGAAGCACCACCAGCTGGTTTATACCAGACTCTGACCTCCCAAAGCGCCATCCCCAGAGAACCTTGTTGGAGGGAATAAGATTAGCTCATCTTCCCCAGCGTGCCTCTGAGTCTAGCACCCCTGTGGGAAAGAAGTTTGTCCCAAGAACACTGACTTTTTTCAGACTCGTCTCTCTTGGTTGGCAGAGGGAGAGTGTGGTACTCAATGTTTTCCATGATGAAGCTTTTAAATATATTATGACCAATAATGGTTATAATATATTAAGTATTTGTTATGCTGGTAGAGCCACACTAAGCATGTAGTGTCTTATAATTCTTGCCATTGTGAGTGCCTGCAATGCAACCTGATCTGCACATATATATCTTCATGCATAATCTTTAACGTTTTCACTGAAAGACATCGGAAAGTCTATGGTTCTGAAGGTCACTTGACATCTTTGTGCACTGGTGTGATGTTTTCTAAATATTTCTTTGTCTATCAATTTGCTCTTGGTTTTTTTTTTATTTTTTTTAATGTTTTATTTATTTCTAGGAGAGAGAGAGAGACAGCGTGAGCAAGGGAGGGTCAGAGAGAGAGGGAGTCACAGACTGAAACAGGCTCCAGGCTCTGAGCTGGCAGTCAGCACAGAGCCCGACGCGGGGCTCGAACCCACGAACTGCGAGATCATGACCCAAGCGAAAGCCGGACGCTTAACCGACTAAGCCACCCAGGCGCCCCTGCTCTTGGTTTTTAAACACAATATGCTGACTTTGAATGCAGAAAACGTGGCACACACTTCTAAATTCTAAGGTGCGTGCAGCAGCTTTAGTGTCTCTGTAAAAACAGTGGTATCATGTATGAAAAGTTGTGGTTTTGTATCTTCTTTTCCAAATTTTAATACTTCTGTTTCTTGGGGTCTTGGGGGGGTGTCGTACTGCCTTTTTAGGACCCCAGAATAATGTTAAAGAGAAATCTGTAACTATGGAAATCCATATATTGCTCCCAAGCTAAAATGGAATGTTCTCAAAGCCGCACTTGTGAAATATATTTATAGTAGGACTTTACGTAGATCTCACTTTTAGATTCAGACATTTCTGTTCTACCACAAGTTTGCTGAGTTTCTTTCTGAATCATGTTTACCTTATAGGAGTTATTATGAATTACATTGACTAATTTAAAATTTTATGTGGAATGTTCCTCTAGGCACAAATAGGATGGAATATATGATGAAATCCTATCTCTCAAATTTAATAATTATAAACACTTGACCAACTGAGTTTCTTACAATATCCCCCCCTTATTTGATTTATTATTTTAAAGAAAATCCCACACAGTACACAAATTTACCCCTAGGTATTATCCATGCTCATGTTAGTATAGATTACTAACATATAGTGATATATCTCTATCTATCTATCTATCTATCTATCTATCTACTCATCCATCCATCATCTATCTATGCCATGCCATTAGCACACCTGATAAATAAATAAAACTGCCTTAATGTTTCCTGATACATGACCCATACTCAAATATTGTGATTTTTTTCAAACTTTTTTAAATAAAAATCCAGACATGGAACACACATTAATTTACTTATGTCATTAAGACTTTTATTTTATCTATTTATATTTCATTTTATTTTATCATATCTAATAATACGACATTTGCTTTTCTGTCACTTTTTCAAAACTAGATTCTTTATCTTGTAGAATGTCCTACACAAAATATTTTGCTCGTTGTTTCATCCCAGTGTTATTTTACACGTACCTCAACAGAATTTAGACGTAGGGGCAAGAAACGGGTGAGAATGCTACCAAAAAGACTAGGGCTTTCAGGAGACCCCCTTTTCTGCAGCCAAGTTGGGGAATTGTTATGAGGTCGCATATCAAAACAATCTTTCCCAAGACTGCAGACAGAAGAAAAAGAGCAGTTTCAGCAGACCTGTGGCTTCTCACAGATCCAATGATACCAATACATATGGCACGTATCCGAGAACCAATAGCCAGAATCCGTCAGGAAGGCACAATCATAGTAGGAAGATGTGGTATCATGCCAGTTGCTGTGAAAATACACACAAGGATCAGCCAGGTCCCCTAACCACAGTGCTGGGCAAACCACACTCAGCCATGCCCCGCCGGGCTCACCAACAAGATCCCAGAAGAAGATAAGGCTACAGGTGAAGGTCTTGCCTTGGGAATATGTGAGTAATCCCTATAAGTAAAATATCCTAACTATATCTTACAGCAGTGTTTCTACGTGAAGGAAATACTGGCACTGGGGGGTTTAGCATTATTTGTTGTGCGGGCCAGTACACCGTAGGACATCGAGCTGCGTTGCTGGTCTCTATCCGCTCTCCATTGTGACAACCAAAAATAGTGCAGTGCCAGATTTCTCTAAGAGGAAAGCACCACTGTTTTATAATAATCATCTGGTGCAACTTCTTAAATCATAAATGGAAAAAAAAAAAAAAACGAGGTCAAACTGGACAAATGACTTAACATCCCTGAATCGCTGAGATTAAGTTTGAGAACATGATGCATTCGAATGTCTGGTGTTTAACAGGTGCTAAGTCTTTCAAATGATCTCATACTCTTTCCTAAACATTTCTCGAAATGTTTATAACACACACTCACACATTCATTGCAGAACATTCATACACCTGCTGTGTTCCAAGCCCTGTACTGAGTACTGGAGACACATCAATGTGCTGGATGCCTGCTCTGCCCTAAAGTAGCAGCCTGTCTGATGGGCAAGACATACTTGGGCAAAGGAAGATCATAATTAATGCAGCCACAAAACTCTACATAGTGTGTGCCTGGGAATTAAGGGAGTTGGATTAACTCACGCTGGGCACAAGATGGGTTCTTCTGTGAAGCTTGACACAAACCATAAAAGATGTTCCAGATAGATGACACAGGAACAAAAGCAGAAAGACAAGATACAAGACAATATCCAAAAAGATGAGTCATTTACTACATAGATGTGGCAAGGAGGTAGAGAGGCTTTAGGAGTGTAGGAGATGAGGATGTAAAGATGAATGGTACCCACTATGTGGGAATTGAAAGGTACCATCTAAAGATTCTGGGTTATCCATGGTGTTTCCAAAAACTATATCAAAGGTGTGCTTTAGGAAGATGCCCCCTTGAATTGACTAGAGCATGAGTTGATGAAGGTAAGACGAAGTATAGTATATACAGCAATTGTCCTGAGCTGAGGTGAGGCAGAAGCAGTGGAAGTGAAGGAAAGCAGATGTACTCAAGATGGTCCGGGAGGCATAGTGTGAAGTTCTGGTCAAGTGTAAACATGAAGAAAGTTCAAAAACAGATGATGACCAGAATGTGAGGGCACTGAATCATACGTGGAGGGGTTAGGACTGGATCCCCTGGGCAGTGGTTCCTCACGTGAGTTCTATAGGATACTAGAGGTTCCAGATATGTCCAAATGAGTTGTGCATCTCAATGAGTTTGGTCCATCGCACACTGTCTACTCCTTCCTTAGAGTGTACAATTCTCTTCAATGTATTAAAGGCATTGAGACTTCCTACAATAAAAAACCTATTTAATGTTGTTTAATTACGGTTTTTACACACACACACACACACACACACATTAAACATGACAACTGGAAATACAACAGGAAGTTTGGTTTAGGCCAAAATCAGACCCTTGAGGCAGTTTGAGAATCTGTGGGAAGATGTCTTCAAGATTCAATGGGACAGACAAGCTCAGGTGTTCTGAGTCCAACAGGGATACTCACACGAAGGTGGGGACTGAGCCATCTTGCCACTTGTGAATGCCGTTTGGGTAGTGTTTCCTGAGGCCAATCCAGTAGTTCTTATTTTCCTTTGGTCTCAAGAATTTCTGCATGAGAAGAAGGCAAAGTAAGTCAAGAAAGACTACAGCCAGAGGTGAGAATGCAGTGGAGACAGCCCATGAAAAGGATTAAGACCTAGGGGACCCTGTGGGCATGTGTCCTCCAGTGCAGCGATTGAACACATTGGTTGAAAGCTCTGGGTAGATCACCATTTCCACTGTTATTATGACCTATGCGATCAGCAAATTATAGACACTTATGGTCTACAGGCTTTTCACTTGTAAAATGGGGATAACAATGGCAGGATTTTCTGAAACTTCAGTGAGAGAATAAGAGCCCAGTATGGCTCCTAGCTGAGCACTAGTTGGTTAAAGGGTAGACAGGATCATTCAAGGGCATGGGTAACAGGGTGAGGAATTTGGACACTACTCCATAGAAAATGTTCTGGCAATCATTTGGATTCCGCTGACAAATACTGAATCCGCTGAACCATACTGAGTGTGTCCAATCTGGTTCTAGGCACTATAGACTCGAAAATGAGTCAGAACCACCCCTAGCCGGGGAGCTCTCCATGTGTAAGGAGATGAACCAGGCATCTGGCAGCATAGCCCAGTGTTAAGGAAGAGGACCGGAGCTGTCCAGGTAAGTAGAAGGAAGCATTCCAGGCAGAAGGGCCAGCATGAAGAATCGCTCAGAAGCAGGACGGAATGCTGGCTAATCCTGCATGCTGAGACAGTGGAAGGGTAAGGTGAAGGGCAGAATGAAGGATTTGCACTGGATTCTACAGGGGACAAGGACATGAGCTTGCAATGACTTGAAGGGCCTCCAGAGCACCCCTCCCCCCTTCCCACCTGCTCTGCTTGGCTGTTGATGATGGCCAGGTGAGCATCCTTCTCAGTACAGTGATCCTTGGCTTGGAACCAGTTCATTTCTTGTGTGGAGAACTGATAGCAGGAGCCCTGAAATGCTGTCCAGTTTTCATGGCAGGGCTCGCAGAAGGATTCTGGAGAAAGAGAGAGACGTCAGCTCCCTGGAGGCTACAGGCTGCGCTGGCCTCCAGTGGTGAAATGATCCAAACCTGTGCATCCGTGCCTCTTTGCAAAACTGAGCACAGTAGCTTCCCATGTATTCATTCAAGAGTTGGGCCGTAGCAGATGGCAGAGTAATATATGCAGGGGGCCTGAAGCTTCATGTTAACATCCACCTTGACAGAGGATCGATTAAAGCAACCCAACACACGCTCGCGTGCTGTAAGGACCCGTGCCGAAGATGACCACAGTTCTCTTCCAACTCGCAGTTCGCACCACGCAGCCCGCCCCGCCTCCTTACCGTTGCCTGCCCGCACAGCCTCCGTTTGCCGGAACACCTCTCCCCACAGGATGTCCCGCTGGTGCCCAGCATCTGCCAGACCCTGCACAACTAAGAGGCCCACAGAGAAAGGCGGATCAAGACCGGGTGGCACGCGTGGGAAGGAAGCCCTTCTGTCTCGTTCAGCACTCACATTTGATGTCCATCTGCTTGAGGTCTTCCTGCATCTGGTTGGAGAACTGCAGTACTAGGAGAGACGTGCGGACGCTCTAGACCTTTCGGCACCCGGATCTTCTCCCACTCCCAGATCCACAGGCTAAGACGAGGAGGGCAGTTCCCTCTAAAGTCACAAAGTCCAGCGATGCAGTCCAGCCACCCCCTTATGGACCCATCTCTGTCCCAGCCCTGTAGGGCCCGCTTCTCAAGACTAGGTCCATGTGATCACCCATATCCCACCGGCTCACCACCTTACCCTCAGCCAGGACCACACCTAGAATGAGGACGAGCAGAAACAGCACCAGAGTCATTGCCAGGCAGAAAAACTTCCAGGGGCCATCCTGGGGCAGCTTCTGGTCCCTCTGCGCTGCAGGGAATGCAGCAAGCATGAGGCAGTGCACACAGTCTGCCGGGACCGTGTCAGGAAGGTGGAGGGATGAGGGATGAGCCTGAACCAAGCCCTGGAGTGGAAAGCGATGAGCCATCCTTGGTACTGAGGGCATCTACTCCTGCCCTGGGCTTCTTGACTCACCCAGTTCCCCCTGAATGGGAGGATATTTTCCTTCCATGGTGTGAGGTCCTATATAGCCTGCTGTTCTCTGTGCCTGCATCCACCTGTGGCTGCAGCTCCTTCTGGGCTAACTATCCACAGCCCTTCTGGTTATTGTTGAAGACATGCCCATCCTATTCTAGGAAATGCCCCCCTCCCTCCCCCGGCAGTATAAACCATCAGATGCTTCCTTTCTGGCTGAGCGAGGCCCCCAAGATCTCTAGATGGCTTATCTTCAAGTCATGCCACGGGGAGATGACATTAGCATCTTGGAAAAAGTAGTCAGTCCCAAGCATTCTCTGCAGCTGTCATTTCTCTCTCAGTTCAGGGGACAGTAGCTGCCCTAGAAATCTGCCTCAAAGTTTCTGGTGCATTTGCACCTTTAAGCTTCTGGTTAAAGCTTCGTTTCAAAAGATCTTGCATTTTCTCAGAGATAAAATTTTGGTAATTTCAACACTGGAGTTATGTTTATGGTTTCTCAGAGCACGTGGCCACTCTTTCCCTTGCACATTGCTTTATTTTTTTAAAATTTTTTAAATGATTTATTTATTTCTGAGAGAGAGAGAGAGAGAGAGAGGCAGCATGAGCAGGGGAGGGTCAGAGAGAGAGGGAAACACAGAATCTGAAGCAGGCTCCAGGCTCTGAGCTGTCAGCACAGAGCCCGACGCGGGTCTCGAACCCACGAACTGTGAGGTCATGATCTGAGCTGAAGTCAGACGCTTAACCGACCAAGCCACCCAGGCGCCCTGCATGTTGCTTTATAATGCTACATCTTAAATGGAGAAAGTGGTAGAGTAAGAAGAAGAAAGCACACATAGATGGAGAGGCTTCTATTTACCAAACCCACTGTTAGGAAACATTCACACATCATGACATTTTATGTGTCTTTTTCTCTCTGAATATCATTATAATTTTTCTCTTTTTCTTTGGTTTTCAGCAGGTTGCTGTGTGTGTGTGTGTGTGTGTGTGTGTGTGCAAGCGTGAGTGTGTGTGTCTCCATATGCTGTTTGGAATTTACCCAGCTAGGATTTTTCAGTTCATTCGATCTGTACTTTGATTATCTTTCATGATTTTTACAAGAATTTTCAGAATTCTGAGCCCCAGATTTCCTACTCATTTACTCTGATGACTTGCAATATGCGCCCTAACCTATCAACCTCAGTTTCCCTATTTATAAAATGGGAATAAGTACCCCCACCTATCAGGAATGCTCTCTGCATTAAAATCATGGAATATCGTGATTCACAAGCCTCCCATACATACAGCTATGGGTCTTTTGAAAGGCATAGTAATACTCTTAGACTTAGCCAGGCAGGATGCCTATCTGGGTCCTGAACATCTGGGGGCCCTCAGCTTCAAGTGCCTTCCTCAAGGGAAGTCCTCCTCTGTTCTCTGGGGTCAGACAGGACAGTCAGCGACTTCCAGGAAGAGCACTCCAGGCTCCTAGGACCACAGTGATTTTGAGTGGGTCTTGGCCATAGGAAAGAATTGTCTCAAACTTTTCACTCCCTTATGGTGCCTGTCACTTGCCAGGGACAACCTTGGTCCCCATTTATCTCTTTTGAGACACTCTGAAACCTCAAACACCACAAAAACACTACATCCTTGAGTTTTATTACAGGATGTTCAACTCCAGACTTGAGAGTTGCACTCTGAGCAGTAGGAGTGGCTATGTCAACAAACTCCACACCTGGCATCTACTGAGTCTCTACTGAGTGCCAGCAGCTGTTACAGACGCTGAGGGCACAGAGATACATGGTATCCAGGCCCAGACCCAGGATGGAGGAGCCATCATGCAATGTGCCAAGTTGTGAGGGCGACATCTGCTGGTCACCGTGGGAAATGTTGTCCCTGGCGCTGGAAGGATGATGGAAGAGGCCCTCTGTGGGCTGACAGCAGGGAAAGGGAATTCCTGCCAGAGGGATGGAGATCAGTAATGTAGAGAATATGAAAGTGTGTGGTTGGATTACGCCCACATGCTGGGAGAGCTTGGGGGAGATAAGCCATGGGCCTGAAGGCTGGACAATGAGGTCTGGAATGGATCCTGCAATGGACAGGTACATAACCTGCACCATCTTGGAGAAGGGCCCTAAGGCCCCCCTGTCCTCACCTGCTATGTGTGACTACTGGTAGTGACCAGGTGAGCATTCTCCTGTGCAAAGGAGCCTTGCCTGATTCCAGAAAACTTGTCTGAGGAGAAGTAGTAGCAGGAGCCCCCAAACACATGCCAGGCATTGGTCTGGGCTCACAGGCGGCAGATTCTGCTGGTGCCAGTCTTTGCTCACAGCTGCAGACGGAGAGGTGGGTCAGACCCAGCCTGTCCCTGAGAGTAATGCCCTGCACCTACTTCCCTCCACCACATACCGCCCCTGTGTCTGTCTTCCATCTGATCCCAGACGCAAGTACAGAATGGCGCTAGTGTTAGTGGTTAAGTCAACAGTCAGTGGATTTCCTGCTTGGATCTTTATACCTCCGTGGCTTTCAGGGAAGTCAGGGGGTTGTAACGTCGTGGGAGTCTGCTGCATCTTGATGGCATTTATCTCCCAGATTTGAATGACCCAGCACTCGCCCACCTCCCACCCAGTTACTCAGAGGTGGAACTTGGGTCCAGTCACTTCCGTTCTCTAGCACAAAGTCGGAACTCCGTGAGTGTTTATAGGACAAGATTCCCACTGCGGATTGCACAGTTAAGTCAAGTTGAAAAACTCTTCAAATCCTTGGTCATCGTCTTGCTTAAGAAGTCCGCCCTCATTCTGCTAAGCGGCTGTCTAACGGCGTATGGAGGGAGGAAGCCTCATGCTTGATCTGCCCTTTGATTACTGGGTAAAGTTGGAACAGGGCACGCCAGCTGGATAGTGTGATAAGCATGTGCAGCCTCAGTTCCCAAAGACAGTTCACGAGATAAGTCTTATCTCCAGCTCAGAGGAAGTCCAGCCCCAGCCAGCCTGTATCCAACAGCTGTGTATGCAACGCCTGAGCCTTCGCTGGGGAGCCCACAGTGGCCAGGACTGACATACCTTCCCTTGTGAACATCACAGTAGAAGGGCGAGGGTGGAAGATGAATAACTGACTTTAGACAAGAGGGTGAGGAGTTTGAGGAAAGGAAGGCAACTGGCTAAAAGAGCCTAAAAACCTAATCCACAGAGTATGGGGAGGCTGGGGGTGGGCATAGGGGGGCAGATTCATGGATAAAGTGACATTTCAACTGAGACATTTTGTTCCAGAGGCAAAATGAGTGGAAAGGGTACACCAGACAGAAGGAACAGCATGTGCAAAGGACCTGAGGTGGGAAGGTAATTGCCCATCCAAGGAACAGAGCGAGGCCAACATGACAGGGTCTGGGGCAGCAAGGAGGGGTGAGTGGCTCAAAATGGCCTAAGATGGCAGATGCGGGTCAGACTGCAGAGTACATCGCCCCATAACCCCAACAGGCACTAGATGACGCACATTTACAAGAAGAACACTGGCTGTGATGTCAGTGAATTTCAGATAAATTGGGGAATAGCCATTCACATTTCAGTGGGATCTTGCAGCACATGGACCTTCCATAGGGTTGCAATGAGAGGCTAGTTTGTTTTCTCAGGCAGTTTTATTGAACACCTACAAGGTGCCCGGCTGGGGGAGCACAATGCTGGCTAGTTCAGGTTGGCCCTGCCCTCTCAGGGCTGCCAGTCTGGGGGGCAAGGAGGGGCGGTGTTGGACAGGTAGTATCTGTAACGGTGCAGTGAGCATGCTGTGGATGTAGGATTCTCAGCGGCCCTCGGAGCCCTGGAGACCTCCACCCGTGTGGTCAGCAGCGTGGAGCCGTCACAGCGGCCACGCCCCGAACCAGGGACTTCACATGCCTGAGTTCTGCTGCCCCAGATGCCGGTGTGCATGTTGTAGCATTTGGCTGTTTGCAGCTCCGGGAACCTTGTGGCTTGGGGGAAGAGACTGTCACCTCCAGTTCCCACTTATGTCTCTTGGTGCTAATCACATGGCCAAGTTTTAGCTTGAACCTAAGTCAGAAAACCATCTGGGGACCAGGTCTCCGGAGTGGGGTGAGTCTGTGGCTCTGTCTCCACCTTAGCGCTGAGCTGTGCATCAGATCTCCTCTGCCTGCAGCTCTGTGGCTGATCCGCAGGGACTCCTTAATTTCCACAAATGAAGTGGAGGGTGGGGAATCGTGAGCCAACTTTTAATGAGCCCTTAAGTGTCAATGAAAATCCCATGGCTTGTTCACTAACAAAACTTGGAATTGGTTTCTAGGGATTATTATGTCAGCAGTGTTTGGCTGATTGTGCCGGGTGCATGTCCCACTGGGCTCCTTAATTCCAATCATGTCTATAATATTTTTAATCTATCTGTGTTCTCAAAGAAGCATGCCCAGGAGCCCTGACTGAAGGCACAGAGAATGTTGGGGTGGGGCTGGAGGTGGAGGGTTTAGATCAATTCCATTTGCTCACTAAGGAGATCCCGTGACATCACCTCAGTTGAATTCTCTGGGGACTTGTTTCCGTCTTGTTCTTTAATTTGTTGATTTCATTTATTAAAGAGATGAGCCTGGGTGGCTCAGTCAGTTGAGTTTCTGATTTCAACTCAGGTCATGATCTCGGGATTTGTGGGTTTGAGTCCTGCTTGGGGCCTGGTGCAGACAGCTCCGAGCTGGGAACCTGCTTGGAATTCTGCCTCTCTCCTCTCTCTGCCCCTCCCCCACTCATGCTCTGTCTGCCTCTCTCTGTCTCTCTCTCAAAAATAAATAAACACTAGGAGCGCCTGGGTGGCTCAGTCGGTTAAGCATCCGACTTTGGCTCAGGTCATGATCTCACAGTTCATGAGTTCAAGCCCCGCGTTGGGCTCTGTGCTGACAGCTCAAAGCCTGGAGCCTGCTTCAGATTCTGTCTCCCTCTCTCTCTGCCCCTCCCCCGCTCATGTTCTGCCTCTCTCTGTCTCAAAAATAAATAAACTATTTAAAAAATTATTAAAAATTTTTAATAAAAACAAAAATAAAATAAAAACAAAAATCAGAAGAGCTGGCCACCAGTGCAAATTGTTCATGTCTCTTCAGGTTCT